AAAGGATTTTAATTGGGCAACTGTTCACTTTAGAAGCTGTTAACTTATCTTGCAGACATATTTGCTGATAACTTGATGAAAATTGGCATATAGATTTACGAGACATAAATGACAAGTGAGGTGTGGTTTAAGGGTTGATATTAGCTTCGGGAGAATTCAAGCTTCTAAGTTGAAGAAAGAGAGTTTAGCAAACTCACTATTCATTTTCCGATCGAGTCTTATTTTCTTTTCTCCTGCCAAGTTTGATAATGATGGGCAAGCCAAAAATTAAAGTGGAAGAGTGAGAAATCTTAAAACGTGCACCATGTTAATTAGGGTCACTACCCTTTCCAGGCCCCAACAGCTGCATTTGCATATGTATCCCATAATTACATCATCTTCTTGTAGACCACCTAGCACGCTCTAAATATAAGGTAAAAGCTTTTCAAAATATCGTTAATTAAAGGTTCAGGATTCCAACTTAACCCCCCCGCCTCCTCTGCGCCGTCTCGTGGAAAGGTCAGGGTAAGGTCTCTAGTCAGTCATTCCTCCTGTCCATCTATCAGTCATTTCCTTCAGTTTTTAGATCAATTTGATGGCCGTTTAGCCAATGAATAATTTCATCAGTCAGTCAATCCCTCAACCATCTGTTTTTCTTCCTTCATATAATTGCAAATTAATGCTTACTTAATAACTGCTCTGTTCCGCAAAAATCTCTTTATTTGTCATGATACAATATTTAAAACAAAAAAATGACCTATTATCCATAATTATATTTGTATGGTAGGGTGTCCTGATTTCATCCTGCACTGTATGAGAAATAGTTAGGTAAGATCAAAATTAAAAAAAAAATACCGTAACATTATGAAAACCATGACGAAATGTGGCCCACTTGAATAACCGGATATTAGAACTCAGCAACTGATCCGTGTTATCTTATGTTTATTAACAGATAAGGGAGCGATTACGAGGCAAAATTGAAACAGTGACGATTGGTCAGATTAGAGCTCGAATGAAAGCTCGAGTGAACGCTGTTTCCCCATCTCCGAACAACAGAAAATCAACCAAAAAGAATGTAAAGATGAATCCAACTGATGGTGGAGCAGTGTGGGCAACTAAATTGTACACATTAAGTGAATATAAGTTGAAATAGGAATATCATTAAGTAATGGATTTAATAGGCGGCGGGTGAAAGCCGATTGTTATGCACTGTGAGTTTTTGGGCCACGATAATTCTCAAGTCGCAATTGATCAGTTTCCATTGTCCTTCTACGTGATTGTTTTTTTTTTTAATTAGAAAAAAAGAAAATAAGTCTTTCATGGGGGGGTAGAGTCTGGTGACGTTTATTTATAGGAGTAATTAAGTGACCCGGCCTATCGCAGTCTTAAGCTGAAGTAAGTTAGAGGATTAGATCTGAGTCAATAGAACAGTTAACCACTCGGCAGTTCAACATTATCTATTTAGCTAAATATGTACACAAAATAATAGTAAATATGTAAATACATGTACATGTATTTAGCTACTAGTACACCATATCCAGCTGGTGTTAAGCCTTACTAGGTAGGCCTTAAGCTATTGGTGCATATTATTTACCAAGGGAAATACGGTTGAGTAGAACCTTTCTTTACCACCCTCCAAGAAAGGTGGCTGGTAAAAATGTCTCCAAGTAACCTAGGGTGACCCACAGCTTGTGGGTTTAAATAGTTCTTAGTGAAATATATCTGTATCAAAGATCCTTCCAATATCTATGCTGGCCCTTAATTGGCCCAAACGCAGCACGTGACCGGCTGAAACTGGGTGATATCTAAGAATATCACCCAGGCGATATTCTCCAATTTTCAAAGTTTATGTCCAGTGCGATTAGTCTTCGTTTCAAATTAATTCAAGATGAGAGAGAGTTTGTGGTTGATACAGAAGAAGGGAAATCTTTTGTTTTTTTTCATTAAATCTTACCAGAGAACACCCAAAAGAAAGCAAAAGAAAACGTCCCGCAGTAGGCATGGAACATATGTTTTTTCTTTTCCAAGATGCAAACAAGTTTCGAGAGCGAAGCTATGGGAAAACTGTTAGCTGACTGGCCAAATTAAATAAAGGCTATTGTTTATATATACAGATATACCTTTGTCAAGGCAAAGCTGGAAATTTTTCTTCTATTATCGGTTCCTTTCGGAACAACCTCTGATACCGTTGAATTTTGGATATATTTCTGTGAGAGAACATCATGAGGAGCTGTGAGAGATTATTCAGCGTTAATTGATTTCCGGTTGATTTTTTTCGATAAGTGACAGATGATTGAACGATAGGATCAAATTATATATTTAAAATGAGAGATACCAGACCGTGAGACGAGAACGGTGAGAGAGAGAGATTATTATAAATAAAAGGTGAAGTTTCAGAATATACCAGATTCTTTAGTCTCATTTCCGACACAGTGGCACCTCCGACGGGACTCGCGAAGCATGGAGGAACTAACCAAGAAGCAGAGGCTAAATTGCAGATGTTGCTGTTCACCAATGAAAAAACACATGGCTTTGTGGAAAAGGGAAACCTAGGAGAGGTCGCACGACATCGCAACAATCTACAAGCATTAATAAAAGAAGTAGACGTGTTTAAACTAAGGGTCGAGCAGACCATGTTCGAGACCGGAAAAAGTGCAGAAGACGTTGGAAGTTGGGGCAGTAGCATTGAAGAACCGATCGCCGAAGCTGACGAAGAAGTTTCGCGACTGGGAAAATGGCTCGCGGAGACGAATGAGGAGATCGAACATTAAAAGCAAAAGGACGAAGAAGAAAGGAAAGCCCGTGCTCGTGAAGAGGAGCTTAAATTCGAAAGACAGCAAATGGAGATAAAGCTAGAATTTGAACGCCAACTGGAAGAGACCAAGGCAAAACAACAACCTGGTGAAAAGGCTAATCAGAGTGAACAAAGGACAACAAAGCTACCGAAAGTACAGATCACAAAGTTTAATGGGACGTATGAAGCATGGCTGCCGTTCTGGGACAAATTTCAAGCTGAAATTGATAAAGCAAACCTTGTATTTGTGACCAGTTTACATACCTAAAAGAGCTGGTAGATCCAAAGGTTCGAGCGGAGATAGACGGACTGCCTTTCACAACAGGGGGCTACGAGAGGGCAAAGAATATCCTCACCGGCGAATATGGAAAAACCAATGAGATCGTAAATGTGTACGTCCAGAAAATCACGAATTTGCAAGAAGCTCGTGTAC